AAGTGATCTTTTCTATTGTATATTTATAATCGGGCTTTAATTAAACAAAAAGTACGTTTTATCCGATAACTCGATTAATACTAGAACAGATCTGAATGTGTCGTCTGAAGAGAGAGACCATGAAAACCTTCCTCCTCCTTCTTCACCGCTCCGTCAGGAAACGTCCCTCCCATCCGCCTTTTCTAATTTTACCTCCAGCAGCAGATCACATGACACGACTGTGGAGGTTTGAAGCAGTAATAAACAGACAGTGTTTATCAGTAAGTGACCTGCTGCCCGCTGTGGAGAGACTTCACCCTTTATCTAATTATAGCGCTGTGTGTCCGGGGGGAACGCTCTGTGACGGACGCTGCTCTTTGGTTTGTGGGTCGTAACAACACCGCTGCAGGTTTCAACAGGTCGGACCGACTGCATTCCTTCTCAGCTGAATCCAACAAAACACGCAGACGACAGGAAGAAGGAGGAGGAGGATTAGTAGAAGTGAACTTTCCTAAACGGTTTCCTGAATCTAAACAAAGAGAATAACTGCTGCCAGAGAAAATGTGCAGTTATTGAGGAGCTGAAGGTCTCGTGTTCAGAATCAGGTTATTAAAGATTAAACATCAGACTGAAACCAGAATCTGTCCACGAGCTCTTCACCTCCCTTTTTACTTTTTTATTTATGTTTTAGAAGAGACAGATGTTGTTTTGTGCATCAAAGCATCAGGACACTACCGTCCTATTGAAACATCACAACTGTAAACTGGCAGATACGTTCTCTACCTGTTAGTATCCTGTGTGTATTATCTTTATATTGTTTACTAACCACTAACATGATAAAACATTCATGCTCTTAAATAAACAATAACATTCACAGCTGTAAAACATCATACATTTAAATACATGTAATAAGTGTGTCGGTACTTTCTCCAATGAATAAACTAATATTATCGTTATTTGTCGACTTCCAGAAGCTTTATTTACAGTAAACAACAACAACAGCAGCCGTCACTGTGTCTCACCGTTGGTCTCCGTGTCCAGGCGGTCTCCGTGGGAGTTGAACCACTGAACGCTGGGGAACGGGTCTCCGGTGACGTTGCAATCAATCAGCGCGCAGCTTCCCTCCCGGGCAATTATCTGCTTCACTTTGGTGAACACAACCGGGACGAATCCGCCGTCCGTCGCGGTGGCGTTTTCCGTGCGGTTTCCATCCGCCGATGAGGCCCCGGCGGCGTGAGAGGCGACGAGGGACGCCAGGACCAGAAGCAGGTTTCCTCCGGCCCAGTGCATTTTGTCAGACTGTCGGTGCGTCATTCCTCTTGGGTCTCCATCCAGCAACACTGGCTATCTCTTGATAGGGGAAGGCAGTTTGGTGTTCAGCTCTGCGGCTCGAAGCATCTCACTGGGAAAAGCAGAGAGTCACACGTGTTAACGGGAGGCTGTGGAGGACGAAACAGCGACATAATGAACTAATAAGACCGCTTTT